GAGAGAGGGGGGGGGGGGATGTTCTTCTGTATTCGGGAAATCGCAGAATGGGACGAAAGCAGTTGCAGCAAAGGTATTGAAAGTGGTGAGCTATACTGGTGATTGCTCGGATTAATCGTTTTCTTCGGGAATACGTTTATTTAGCGATTTCTCATTGCTTCATGAAACACAAATTGAGTTCCATGGCGAGTTTACGAAACTTCTAGTGCACAATTCGTGTTGGAGTTAATGTTCAATAATTTGGACATCCATATATGTGTTAATTATATTTAAGTGCCAAGTGTTGGTATATATTATTCGTGGAAGCGACACAACTTTTATTAGTCTACGTAAAATTGACAGTAAGGAAGTACAGAATATATATTCAGGGTATTTTATGCGGTGCCGTCTTTCACGATAAAATACATATATTTTATTGCCGTAAAGGATTCTCGTGACGTTAATGGGCAAATTCAATATCGCGGTATAAATTCTGTTGAACGGTGTAATCGTGATAATCCACGCAGGAGCAGTCGCGCGAGAGACATTCGCGTCTCATTCTCATGGAGCTCGCGCGGAAGCTTACGGGACGTGATAGAAGCGAGTTGTAGTATCAAAGCAGACTTTTGCGTCGGCGATAGTTCAAATTCATTGTGCCCCGCTCGACATGTTTACGTGATAGTCATCCGTAAGCGGTAGATTGTTTGCACCGGTCATTGCATACGAACGAGATGCGACCGATGGATCCATAGCTTATGTGCCCAGACCGAAATAACCTGTCGCGCTTGATTACGAAGGCTATGTGTTTTTTTTTGCCGTACGCCAGCAAACCGTATTGGATTGAATTAATCGGCAGTCCGTAAAATCTGTTTGCAAAGTGTATTGTTGGACGATTTTATTCAAATATTCTTTATGTAAACCGAATATTGAAATTTTTTGCGTCAATTCATTTTTTTTTACTCATTTGTGTTATTATACCGGCGTAACGTAATTAACAAATGGGTGGCATTGGAGTTTGATTTTTACAGATTTATATGATTTAGATCAGCAATTACGTTATTTAAACTGAATAGTACAATGCTGATCATTTGGAATCCTGTTGCATGTACAAACGCTTAAGATTATACAGTCTCATATGCCCATATCGCACATATATTTCGCAGAATAACGTAGGATATTACAGCCGCAAACATACTTGACCGCAAAACCGCACGTTCTCTTCAATGGCTCATTATATTCATGTTAAAACGAAAAATTAGAAACATACTTAGACAATAATTTTCAATTTTTACAAAAAATTAAATTTATCATTTAACTTCTAATATTTAACTAATCTAACCTAATCATTTAACTTTCTAACATTTTTTTAGACTTTTTAATGATATTTCATTTTTCATTTTCTCATTCCCGACTTTTTACACTGAGGTAATTGAAAATAATTGTATTGGCTGTTGTTTAGGCACGAAATAGCTTTGTAAACTGCGGAAATGTTTTATTCGTGAATTAGATTCACGATCGCGAGATTAGATTTTCGTACAAGCGGTAATGAACGCACAGCCGACGGTAGCTCGCGCTGCTCACAATTTCCGCTTGAAGTCGTAGGAGGTATTAGTTCGAGTTACAGAGATGTTGGCGTCTTCGGAGTTGCAATTGCACGGTAGAAGCAACGTAATAACTTCTATTGCACGTGAGACACGATTGCCTCGTACTGTGTTGTGATGTCCGCAGGATAAGGAGACTTACTCTTGACTAGAAATGAATCAGTATCCCGGTAACTGTGCCCGTAATTGCGCCAATTAATGATTTATCCATGATGTACCCAGTGTCTCGTTACCTATTACGCTGCCGAATGCACTAATGGTTTTAATAGTCGATGTCATTTAAGAGAATACGTATAATTATCTCAAATTAATAAGGTTTAACGTAGTTATTCTGCTCGTTAATTAATATTTGTACGCCAGAAGAAACATCGACTGCAGCCGTATTCTCAACAATAAAATGGGTAATAATATAATAATAATATGTATATTACGTTTCAGCAGTCTCGGTTTTGGCAGGCTCGGTTATAAGTATAAAGCGCTCCCGCAATTTACAGTAAAACGTTCGATATTTAACGAAAAATAAATTAAAAAGCAATTTAAAAAAAAGTAATATTTATTTTTATTAACCATTTTAATATTTTGATTAATTCTTCTTTAGCTTTTATTATCGGACTATTTTCCAAGAAAATGCAATAAATTGAGGGTTCTTTATATTCACGGCTGTATCATCGTACGTATATATTATCTCATTATATTCCTATATCCGTTCCTCTTTCGATAATTTCACGTCTACAAATAATACAAGTGTGCCCAAAGCTGAAAGGGTGTGGAAATCCTGTCGTTTGACCATTACGGCATGCGGGGTCTTGGAAGCGGCTCGTTGCATCCGCAATCGCGCGTATTAATCGATTCCCTCGGGAATACATCAAGCAGAAGACGGTTGGAGACCAAAGGGTCACTGTGCACCTCGTGTGCGAAACGAGCCTTTGGAGCAGTAAGCTGGCCAAACGGAATGCATGACGTTTCTACGATCCATGATGCCTTTTGTGGTACCTACCTAGCGTCAATGGCAATCCCCTATATATATTCAAATGCCTGCAGACGGCAAAGTCATTTCTTTTTAGGCGTCAAATATCATATAATCACTATTAATGTAGTTTAAGAAATA